TCATTAACCATTTTCATTATTTTTTTCTAAAGTAATTAGTGTTTTAAAGTGTCAGTATTTTATGTACAATACAGTTAACATTATATATTGTCATGTGCTCCTCCAGTCAAAACTATGAGCCTTGGAGTTGGCAACACAATTCCTAACCCACTGGACCACCAGAGCTTCTTTAAGAGAGAGAGAGTGAGTGAGTGTGTGTGTGTGTGTGACAGAGAGAGCGGAGTGCAAGCGCGAGTGAAAACAAATGGCATGCTCTTATATATGTTTAAGTGTATATATATATATAATAGATCTCATTTCTCATAGCTGACTATCAAGCAGGTTTACAGAGGTCTTAAATCTCATAGGAGATTGCCCGTCTTTTTTCCTTTGGAGCATCATCTGGTAGGTTTAAATCTTGTGTTTGGCAGTGTAACTCCTTATCCACTAAGCCACCAGAACGCCCATATAAGATACACATTTTGTATTTAGAAAGAAAGAAATATAAAAGGTTGTTGTTACTGATTTGGAAATCATGCTAGTAAATTCAGACCACCTGAGAGAGGCCAACTGCTCTTTTATAGTAGCCTAGAAGATTTTCATCATTGATTTTTATTTGGTAGAAACTTTCAAACCATTTTTCTTTTTTGTTGAGGGAAGAAGTAGAATACTTTTTATGTATAAAAAAAATAAAAGATAATTACTACCTAATTTATTTTGGTCAATTTTAATAGTTCATCTTGGATATTTTCCTCTCCCCAGTATTTTCTTTATCAGCACGCCACTGTTCATAGAAACAGATTGACTTTAATATTAGCTTAGGCAGAATTATTTTTAGGAAGATAAATCTCTAATAGAAGAAGCCATTATATGTTTCAAAACCAAGTACATATAATTTCTGTTAAATTACATGCTGCTTTGGATAGTTAATATTATATACCTGCTTTATTAGCAAGGATAAATATTCAAAACTGGTAATTTTAACGTTGTTTGACATTACTAGAGTTTAAGGTACTTAATCATGATATGGAACACTGGTTGCCTACTAACAAGAAGCTGCACTGCAATCCCAAAGATAACGCGGTTCAAATCGACCAGCTGCTCAACGGGAGAAGGATGGACAGTCACCCCGCCCCCCATGAGATTAATCGTGTCTGAAAACTCACTGGAGAGTCAGCTAACCACCGCGATGTGTTATTACTAACATCTTGAAGATTTTGTTACCTGATGTTTGACATTGCTGAGGCATGGCTGGAAGGATGATTTTGTTTCTATAGATTTTGTACATGAAGCTAGAATGTAAAAGTTCCAAGAAATTCTTCATACCCATTTTTAAGTAAATACCAGTGAAAACAGTGTTTCCCTGTAGCAATTTTAAAAATCCACATATGTATTTAAAAAACTCCCTCATTGCCATCAAATGAGGACTGACTCATAGCTGACCCTCCATTGGGTTGAGAGTATGGCCAGTGTTGTTCTTCTGGTAAGAGGAGTCGGATGGATTCCACCCGAGGGGTGTGGCCTTTATGTTTATGTGTGTGTCTTACAGTACTTGGCCACTAAGCATGGCATTTATTTAAAATTCTCAGGTCAAATTTTTGTTGTTATGTATTGTCAAGTCAATTCATAGGTGACCTTCCAGTGGATTTCAGAGGCAGTGAATTACAGGGGAGAAAATAGCCATCTTTCTTCCTCAAGTATAAGTAAAAAGCCTAACGAATGTGGTGTAATTTCTTTGGGGTCTTGTTGTTTGGTGAGGTTTACTCTTATGATAGAAAAGTGATGGGTTAGTGACAGACAGTGTTTACTGTCATGACCGAGGTAATTATAACAACCACTCAAGACTGAATTGAAATCTTAGAAAAGCTCTGTCAAGTAATCATTCTTACCACCATTTTACTACAAGGATTTTAAAGGTCAAATTAAGCATCTTACTTAATTCAAGGTCATGTGATCAGGAAGTGAATATTAATGGGATTTGAATCTGTGAGCCAAAGCATATATATGTCAAAATTTTTCACATATCAGTTGTGCATTGTGTGAGTCATAAAAAGTTAAGTCTTTTTGGCAAACTTGATATATGAAAATCTAAATATACCAATAAACTTTAGGATATTCTTTAGTTTTCTAAATAAATTTAACTCAACGTTTGTTAAGCAGCATAACAGAGCATTGGAAACTATTTTATCCTTCTCAAAATTCCACTTTCCACTTAAGCAGTGCTTGCATTGTGAAATTGTATAAAGTGAGGAAGTAAACCTCTGTTTTGGGATTCTGTATTCAAGATCTACCTCAGGACCATCTGTTTTGTGCCTGGTTCTAGGTGTTTGAGTAGTCTACAAAGCCAGGTGTGAACCTTGCTGGTTCTGGAACTGGCATCCCACCTTTCAAATTTGAATTCCACTTCCTACTAGCTGTGTGGGTTTGGACAGATGACTAAACTGTATTAAATGGGATTCTTCATCTATAAAGAGGAAAGAATAATAGTAGTTCTATTAAGGTCATTGTAAAGATTAATTAAAATGTTGCGGATTTATGGTACATAATAGCATCTGGCATTAGTAAAACATTTGAGAAATACTAACTTTTATTTTCTTAAAAATAACATTTGAATGTAAGTTTTTTTTTTTCCAAACAAAACTAACAAATTGATGAAGATTACTCATTGTCATCTCCAGACTGGGAAAGTAATCTTCCTTGTGTTACTTGAAAAGTTTTTTAACCTTCCTTTCATGTTGTTCTGTACACAACCATATGTGTTTTTAAAACATGGCAAAGCTGTAAACTTTTTTTTAAATTTTTCATTGTTTAAAGACAATGTGTGAGATAATTCCAGATATAATAGTGTGTGTATGAAAACTCTAGTAGCCTTTCTTCTGAATGAAGAAGATCAGGAGTTATTTTGCGATCTCTTTTTGGAAGCAGTATTTATTACTGAGGAAAAGATTTGAGAAAAGATTTTTCAGTGACTACTAACAAAAGTATTACAACAGCTTCACACTTTGTGTGATTTCATTGTTTTCCTGAATGAACGCTATTTCTAAGTAATTTTAGAAAATATTGAAATTAAAAGCTAGACAATTTTTTCCCTAAATTTTATAACACAGTATTTAGACACTTTAACATGTAAGTCACAGCGGTTCCTATGTGTGTAATTTAGAGTTTAAGAAGACTTGTTTGTAAAAACTTACACTGGAGTAGGCATTTAGTCACATTTTTCAGCTACTTTGGGATAGTGAGATTCTTTTTAGAGCTCAAACAGTTAGTAAATATGCTCATAAAATTTGTTAAAGGGATATATAAAACTAGTTTGAAAGTTGAAGCCATGGTTTATAGCAGTAATGATTTTGTAGTCATATTTAAATTGTCTTGTTTGTGGTCAGTGTAAAAGAAAAAAATATATCTTTAGTACTTCCACGGAGATTTGTTCAACCAGTCTTTGTAAAAAGGTGAAGTTTTTTATTGAATGAAATCTTGTTAGAAAATCTTTTACTTTGACATCAAATCACAACCATTTTTTTCCCCTTATCAACATCTAAATGCCAAGGAAAAGCCAGTTTTAAGCTGAAGAGGTATATAAACAGTTCTACAGTAGTAAAAATACATCTTACTGACAATTTGGTATTTTAGAAGAAATTTTTTTTTAATCAATAGAAAATATGAAGTTAGTTTGTAGTTTTTTAAAAAAGTAGATTTTAACGCGGGCTTTCTTAAAGCCATTTTGTATAAAGGTTTCTTCCAGTGTGTACAGCCAGGTTTTGTGTACATCACCTTTGCTGTTGTAACTGGAAGTTAGGCCTGGGAATAAATAAATGTCTGCTTTATTAATTTATTCTAGGCTTTTATATGTAGTCAGACTTTTGTCATATATGCTGATTTATCTTCAGTCAGAATTTCCAGAAATTCTGTATTGAGGTGTATTAAGATGTAGGTTCCAGTTTTTAATGTTTTCTTCTTTAGGAAGCAGATTTAGGATATAATTTGTCCTTGAAAACCAAAATGATAACAGAAATGATGTAGGTGTTTATGGTAAAGAGAACATTCAGATTAAAAAAGTTAGTGATGGTTTGTTTCCTTGAGACAGTGATATATAAAACTCAATTTATTAAAATTAATAAAAGCATAATTCATTGCTATAAAGTAGTTCATAAACTTAGTCTGGATGGGACTTAGTATCCATGTAGGCATTTCAAATAATCAATAAAATTGTAGGGTTTTTTAAATCAGAATAATGTTGAGTGATACTTGTTTAATATTTTTGACCTTGAAAAAAACCAACTGGTATTTTGTAGTGATTCTGAAAATCAGCTTTTTTATTATTTAGCTGCCCAGTGCTCAACTGAGACTGAGTCACCCACGCTGTGTCGGAGCTCACTCTGCAAAGAGATGAATCTGGTTTTTCTTTCCCTTCCCGGACCAGCCAGGGTTACTGCAGCCTGAGGTTGATGACACCCATACATAAAACACTGTCAAATCATCAAGTGGTACTATTTGTTTTCAAGGTGACACATTTAACTTTTTATTAAAATGCTAACAAAAGCAAAGAAGCTAGCAGTCCTCCCACCACCACCTTTTGATTGTCATCAGACCAGTTTCTGGGAATTTCAGCAAATACCAATTCAGTTATAATTCTAGTATGGAATACAGGAAATAAGCTTTTGGTGCTTGATTAAAAATTCAATGAGTTGCTGTAACACCTTCTCACAGTCTTATTTTCTCTGGCTCGAGCTCTGCTTTGGTAGCTCTGCACATGTATTTACTCTGAATGGTTAATCTAACCAGTTTGTTTCTTTGTGATATTTCCCATAAGTAGGAAGGCATTTTTGGATCTTACAGCCTCTTAAAATATTTTATAACCATTTATGTGAATGGACAACAGTGTGCATGCTTGATCATTATGCAAATACCCAAGACATTATGATTAAAGGGCAGCTTAAGGAAAAAGAAACAGATTTGCAAAAGCATTCAGTCTTTATTTACAGTATGTAGGAGATTGCTGTTTTCATGTTAGGTGTAAGAGTTTCATCAGCAGGACACCCAGAGAAGGACATCATTAGCGACAGGATTTACATACCGTTAGCTTACAGTCCTTGACTAGCAGCGGGGCTCTGTCGGACACACAGAGCGAGCTGGGCACGTTGTTTGGGATGCCTTGGATGCTGCGGTTATCCGAAGCTTGCTGGCTGCATGCTTGTTGCTTTGTTTGAGGCACAGGTAATTAATTACTTGATAAAATGAAGTGCATCGCTGTGGACAATTGACCCTTTGGAACAATCCAGGCTAGTCAGCAGTCTAAAACCACACTTTAAAGCCATCATGATAGCTTCAAACTTTAGAGTTTCCAAGGTGCAGACAAAGGTGTTGTCTTCCTTTAGTACAAGTCGAGTGCCATTTTCAGACTTTATGAAGTATTTAAACTGAATGATATTAGATGATATTGAAAACTCTTCTGGGAATCCATCCAGCCTGCTTTTGGACACCAGAACAATGCGAGATTTTATTTTTGCTATGAAATCAGGAGCATTACAGAAGATCCTCAGTCCTTGGGAGCGATCGTGGTTATCTGTTATTTCCAAGAAAGTAGTCTCCCTGGGAGATAACTGTTCTTTCTCCCACCTGGACTTCACTTCTTCTGCCAGTCCTTTGAGCTGAAAGAATTCTGCCTCTTGGGCGAGAAGCTGATTTTCTCGAAAGCCTTCAGGTAGTAGGAGCTCTCCATTTCGGAGGAAGTTGAGGACATGCCTAAAGAGGAGCCCGTCCCTGTCTATGAAATAATGACCGTCAGCATCGAAGGGACACAGGATCTTCCCGTTTACTATACCTTCCAGGAGAGTGTCTGGGTACTTGGTCAGTGTTTGCTTTTGAGTAATGTACAAGTAGCCACCAACGTTGAGGGTCATCAGAGTAGATTTGCAGTTCTTTCCCTGGTCGGCATCTTCCGTACTGTTGTGTTTCCCCTCGCACTCCTTTTCTTTCTCTCTTCTGTTTATTTTACGCTCCATTTTTGAAGATGCTGCTGCAGCTTGTTCTGTTTGGCTTTGAGAATTTTGAGAAGGAATCACGGCCACACAGACACGTCTTTATTCAGCCCCAGTCTGGTGTGGAATGGAAATGCTGGCAGCCCTGCCCGCGCTGGCAGCTGGCTTTTGCAGTAGGTGGCGTGTCAGCTATGCATGCAGGAGCTTTCTGGAGTAAGACGGGAGAAAGATCATTTGCATTTAACTGTGTCAGGGAAGGGATTCGTCATGAAAGGATTTTCATGCACTTTGAAGTGATGAAAGATAACCAGAATAAATTTGATTTCTTCTCACTAGTTAACCAGTTAGAAATGTTTCATTCTCCAGCTCAATCTACCTCTAGATGCATTTATTATGTAATCAGGCAATCTTAATAGTGAATAATGCTGTCATTTTTTAGAAGATAGTGTATATTGAATTAGTATCACTTTTAAAAAAAATAAATCATAAATCAAGTACCAGTGGAGAAGGAAACTAGGGTGGAAGATTTTCTCTCCTGAAAACACTATATATGTCCCTTGTAATTGTTAAGACTTAAATGAAAATATGTAAACCTGACAAAGTAATTGGATTTAATTGGCTGTGTGCAGTTCTGATTTGGGGATCATTAGTAATTAAAGGAAAGATTTTTTTAATCCTCTTTCACAAAATATTTTTTTTTAATCTTAAAGGTAAAACTCTCAGGCAAGAAAGGATTACATTAACGTTTACATTTTTATTGTCAGCAGCTCCAAAGGAAAATGTATAAGTTTGAGCAATTTTGTTTTACCCTAAACCAGATTCACTGCTAAGCAGAGTATTATCCTGTTGTAGGAAACCATGTGTGCACTGAGTAGAGAACAGAGATATGTTGTTGTGAGGTGCTGCTGAGTAGAGTACAACTCAGAGCAGTCCTCTGAATAGCAAAGCTGAACCCTGTCCTGTCCTGTGCCTTCCTCAGACATTTAACATACTGAGAACAGAAGAGTCGGGGGCTGGGGGAACCCTGAGAGTTGAGATAGTGTGTGGTGTTTCTCCCCTTCTCTCCCTGTCTTCCGCATTTTATAGGGCTAAGCTTTTATTTCCAATGCGTTTCTGAGAGACTGAGCTTTCCTTTCCAGAATTTAAAGACCTAGTGGTAAGAAAAGTGCATGCTGTCTGCAATACATTATTTACCAGGCTGGTCTGTCTGCTGGTTCCTGAGGGACTACACTGTTCTTTTAGTTTGACTTCAGATTTTCTGAAAAATACTTACCTCTTATTTTCTTTAGACATGTTAATTTCACCTCATTTAAAAAAATTGTCTATAATTATAGCAGCTTCAAATTTAACATGTATGCATCATTGGATTACCACAAGTCTATTGACATGAAATGGGAGGGAACCCAAATTATTGAAATTGATCTAGAAATTAAATTATTACATTATTAGAACTGAGTTTTTGCTTCAAAAATCTACTTCTCTTGAGTCAGTCATCATCTCCAAGGCACAGCCTCGATGGGAGCCAGCTGCCACACCTGTCTGCCATGGGGAGCCTTGTGGGTTTGAACTAACAGCCTTTAATTAGCAGCCAAATTCTTTAATCACACTATCACCATAGCTTCTGAAGTTTTGCTTGCAAACCTACTCATGTTATCAAGAAAAAGCTGCATTGCCAAGAATGTTTAGTGTTGTATCTGGAGCTTTATAGTTTCTTAATACCACCATTCTACTAAGAGACGATTCTTTTAACAGTCTCACATGTTGATTTTGGCTGTTTGGAATCAAGTCTTTTCTGTGTATTCTTTTAAAAGACATATCCATTGAATTGACGTTTTGGGTTTTGGTTTTACTTTGGAAATATATTCACAAAATAATTCTTTTCCAATTACAAATAGCCCCTCCACATGAGTGATACCATATAACGAAAATGAGCTAAGACAGAAGAATTTATTTCTAAAGCATCCTCTTAATTAATTTTATGGAACATCACAATCAATATATCATATTAGTTGTACGGTGTTGGTGACTATGCTGTAATTTTCTTGGCATGTTTAAGTAAAGTGAAATGAAGTCGTGTGTAACACTGTCTCTCACTTGCATGTATCCTGCCGACAGAAGCCTTGCCATCAGTGCCTGAGAGGGCAGCTTCCACTGTAGGGAGGGAGGGAAGAGTGGAGGCTGCACTGTTGTGAGTAGGGCCCACACCTGTGAAGCCTGCGCCTAAGATGCCTTACACGTGCTAACTCACATCTGGTTTCTTTTGCTCAATTTTCAAAACTAACGTATATTTTTGTTGTTGTTGTTTCTGCCAGTTTGTCTTGGCTGACTCTGAACCACTGACTCTATCATGTGCCTCTAACCCTTGATCTCTTTTTCTCACTTGGCTTCACTTTGGTGTTCTTGGCTTCTGTATTTCTGACACATATGGTGTGTTACTTGTTACCTGGCAACAGTTGTGTAACTAATAGGAACCCATAGGACTTTTCCATGTCCTCTTACCTCCAACTTGAAATCTTAAAGAAGAATGAGACCTATCCTATCATTACTCCATCTTACCCGATCAAAGCGAGATGGTTGTAGATCATGGAAATTGGAGAGGTTTGTTGATCGCTGTTGCTTGTGTAAAACATGCCCTTTAAGGAGAAAGTCAGTGCCTTCTTTTTCGGCTGCTCTGTTTATCTGCGGATCAGAATCACACAACCTTGTTCACATTGGGTGCCCTCAACCTGATTCTGGCTCATGGTTGATCCCATGTGACGAAATAGAACTATTTCCAGGGTTTTCCTAGCTGTGAACTTGACAGAAGCCAATTACCCCGTCTTTCTTCCAAGATGTGACTGATGACTTTAAACCACCAGCTTTTCAGTTAACGCTCAGAAGCTTATACGTTGCACCATTAGGACTTGTACAATACAGTTCTAAAACTGTTCTAAAAGGGTGCTTCAGCACCACAATATAAAGCATCTGTGGTTTATAGGATGGTATTTTTCTGCCTCACTACAGAACTTGAGTTAATGACTTAAGTGGGTTCAGCAAAAAAGGCTTCACTCACATGTCAAAGAGTATCTCAGAGCTGTGTGACCATTGGACCTGAAGATTTCATCTATCCTTTGTAAGTGGAAAAATACACAAGTTAAAAGAAAAGAATCTTATTTTTAGAGCCAGATCATCCTGAGTTAGACGTTTGTCTCTCTGTAACTACCATTGAGTCAGAACTGACTCATAGCGGGCCCTCCAGTGGACTTTCAGAGTCTGTAAATCTCACGTGACTTCAGTGGAAAGGCTGGTAGATTTGAACCGGTCTCTTTTGTGTTGGTAGTACAACTACTTAGCACTAGGGACCAGAGCTTTTAAAAAACAGGTTTTTAGCTAACTTTGAGAATCTAAACAATGTCATCATCAAATCCTTGGCTAAGTAGATTCTATAGTTTATTAGGCCCCAAATCCTGGCAAATCTTCCACTGTGAGGTAATGCTACTTCCCACATTAAGCAGAATTTATTCCTGGCCAGTGGGGAAAATTTCCATCTTTTCTACCAAGTCCTAATGGGAAATGAGGACCTTGTCCTCATGATGATTGACATAGGACATCAAACATACAATTTCCCCATTTATAAATGAGTGATTATTCCCAACACACAGGAGGAATTGGACCTGTACCAGGAAAATCTCTTTCGAGGTTGTGAAATGCAACATCTCTGTGCTCTGTGAAATAAAAATCCTTCTTTTCAAAGAAAGGATGGCCTTGGAGGTACCTTTAGTAAGACCCAGGGCATCATTCTCTTCTCTGCCTCAACCGGGCCTTGCTGTTTGGTGTCATCATTGTTAGTCTATTAAAATTATTCTGCATTTTTGGCTTTTAATTTGATGCCCATCTACCTGACCTCAAGATATATTTACTTTTCTTTCTTTCCCCCAAGAGTTGGCTTATCCGTGACCATCTGATATTTAGGATCTCCTAATTCCTCTTTGCTTTAACTTTACTGTATTTTTTAAAATGGAGATTTTCTTTTTTACGCTTTAATGTCTGGCTAACTTTCTCATAAACAAAGAAACCTCCCCCTCCCCCAGTTGTTGTGGAGGCAGTTTCAGTTCATGTTGTTTGTTGTTAGATGCTGCCAAGTTGACTACAACATGCAGCAACTCTGAACAACAGATCTGAACTTTGCCCTGTCATGCTCCGCCCTCACTGTCTGGGTCATGCTCAAGCCTCTTGTGGTCCGTCTCATCGAGGATCTCCGCTCACTGACTTTATACCTTTCCCAGCATGATATATCTCTCTAAGAACTGGTTCCTCTAGGAAATACACCCAGATTCAGTGAAATGAAGTTTCTCCACCTTTGCCTCTCAGGAGCATCCTGATTGTTCTTCCTTCAAGACAGATTTGTTTATTCTTTGGTAGTCTGTGGTATATTCATTATTCTTCTCCAACACCACACTTCAGAGGCATTGATTCATTGACCTCCTTTATTCATTGTTCAACTTTCAGAAGCATAGGAAGCAAAAGAAAATACCCAGTCTTGCATCAGGTGGACCTTAGTTTCTAAACTGACATTCTTGGTCTTAGCATTTTACTGAGGTGCTTGTCAGCAGATTTCTCCAGGGTAACATGTCTTTTAATTTCTTGACTGATGTTTGTATGAGTATTGATTGTGGATCCAAGAAAAAATTAAATTATTGACAACATACTCTTTTCTCCATCTATCATAGTGTTACCTCTTGGTTCAGTGGTGAAGATTTTTGTTTTCTTGATGGTAAAATGTAACCTATATCTTTGATCTTCTGTAGCAAGTACTTTAAATCTTTACTTTCTATAAGCACAGTTGTGTTATCTGCATAATGTAGGTTATTGATAAGTCTTCCTCTAGTCTTGATGCCTCATTCTTCTTCAGAGGGTCCAACTTCTCAAATGATTTGCTCTTGAGGTTAGGTGCCTTTGAGTTGAGTCAGACTCATAGCAACCCTATGAACAATGGATCTGAATCTTGCCATTTCCTGTGCCCATCCTCATAAATCTCTTATATACTTGAGCCTATTTTTACAGTCAATGTGTAAATCCATGTTGTTGCAGGTCTTCCTCTTTGACCTTCCACCTTCCCAAGCATGTCATCACCAGACCTCCCTAGATGCATGTACCAGAGTTTCAGATGCACAGCAAGTAAATTGAAAAGATCATTACTTGAATCAGATACACCTTAGTCTT